AAGAATAACATATGTGATTCTTCATTGTACACATAATTAAATTGTTACCCCATTCTTCAACACTATCAATCTGTTTTTGCCTGGCTTACCCTCTCAATAACAAATTTCTCCCACTGAACACAAACGCACACAACCAACTACAGCTTCATTAAACTGGTTCTATAACGTTTGAATTGATGGTACACAATTTTGTGATTGGATGGGTCAAGCAAAACCGTATGCTTTTCATGCTTATCTAGGTTCAAGTGTATCCCTAATCTATACATTACCTAAGAAATCCTTGTAATTCACAGTGAACATGTTCTGCTCAGGATCAGTGGTGTTGGAGAATCATCCCACTGCACATACCCCACGAAAATCGAAAAATACATAGAATGAAGGCATGAAAATTTTAGATTTATTTCTAGCTTTTAAATTAAATAAAATCAAGCAAAAATCAAGCAACAAAATAAGCAAAAACGTGCTTAAGAAAAAGGAAAAAAAAAAGAAGTGTGTGGAAATCATTTTCCTTTGAGTAAAATGAAGAAATTACATGAATTGGGCCTGGGAATTCCGTTTGAACATGTAAAAAATCATGCAGAATTAATGGCCTTCTTGATTGCGATGAACATAGTGGACGAAATAGGCACATTGGGATGTATTTGTAGATCAAGACCTGGTGTTCTAACTCCATCCATTGAGATGGAGTGAAAGGTCATCTGCCTCCTGCTATACTCCATTGCATGGCAGCAACTCCATTACTCAACTCCCACTATTATGCCCTGAAACACAACCAGAAATCAGAAAACCGAAAAAAAAAATTATATATATATATATATATATATATATATATATTTGAAGTTGAAATTTTTTTAAAAGAAAATTAAGCAATTCAGCGCCTTTGGAATTGGCCAAAAAACGGGAGAACTGAGCTTCTACACCTATAGTGAATATACTATGTGAATGTTGACACACCTCGTCCCGAAGGAGGGCATGCTGGCCGTCACGTGAGAGTGACGTAACCATTTGCACAGTACGGAAGCTTTAAGATACAATTTATAAGTTGATACACCCGAAGGTGAGTCCTAATTTTGTCCAATCTGTCAAAACACCGTCAAATTCCTCGTAGTCACCACACCTTTGTGATTCCTGAACCTGGAGGGGCGCAAAACCAAAATTGAGTGGGTCAGTAAAACAATTCTTTTCCAAATCCAAACATTTCTCAAAACGTTGTAACCCCTCTCCGTAAAACCTGTATACTTTCCCAGAAATATAAAATATAAATATACATATATATATTCTCAATACTTCAATTCATTAACTCAACATTTTCATCATAATTATGCCATGCCACATCATCTCAACATTTCTCATATTAATTATGTCATGCCACATCATCTCAAACAGTAATAAGGTATGAATGCATCAACATAAATCATATCAGGGTGCAATAAAGTAATCAACCGGAGGCCCTCTATTAGCCCGGTTGAACCTAGAGCTCAAAAATCTATAACTCTCACACTCTGCCGGAGTCACTCCGCGTGACCTGTACGGCCTTCTGCACATAAGTTACGCTCTAGTGCTTTCTCATAAATCATCTGTGCACATAATCTAAGGTCACCCACCAGTCGGAATCTCACTAACACTCTCGCGACTGCCTGTCGTACCCACTCCGCGTGGACTGTACGACTAGCATCTACTTGGATCCAAGGCGAGCGTGCGATGCGGTGAATACTATAAGCACTAAACTATGGTGCAGGATTTGAGCTCAATATACATCAACATCATCATAACAGAAATAAATACTCACCTGTGCGTTCACCGCACCATTTCATACATATGCATCATAAATCAATTCTTACCTGTGCGTCCACCGCACCAATTCATATATATGCATCATAAATCAATTCTTACCTGTGCGTCCACCGCACCAATTCATACATATGCATCATATATCAATTCATGCATGGCATTTCAACTCACATTTCTATATACTTTTCATATCAATTCTATGCATGGTATTTCACTTCCCGTTTTTTCACATAACTCATATGCATTTCATTTTAAAACATATTTTTCATTTCAATTCAATTTCTGGGAAACGTCAAGTATATATATATACGGAAAACAAAACTGCCCACTCACCTGGAGTTCGTCCAACAACTCCCTAGCACCACACATCAAGGCGTCATGACGATCGCCGCCTAGAACAGTAATCAAATCCAACCTCAGAATTCATATCGATAGAATATATAACTTATATATAAAATACGTCACTACGTAGTTCGATCCGGAAGAATCTGCCACACTCAGATTTTAAATCCATAACTTCCAGAGGTCCACAAATATATCTCTAGGACAAACATCCTAAAATTTCATTACCATCCAACGGTCGGATCGTCAATTCACATTTTTACCTAAATGTGAAAACTATAAAACGTTATTCGAACACCTAACCAACAATCCTCAATAACTTTCTCATACGGTGTTCAATTTGGGTATATGAATATACCACAGTGATCTACTCGACGTCACGGACGTCGACATATTTTTAAAATAATTTTTTACTGTAGCACGCGCCCCCACGCGCCAAGGAAGGCACGGGTCCACGCGCCCCCACGCGCACCTTCTTCTTCCTTGGGTCGCCGGACTGGTTTTTCCGGCGGCCGTTTTCTGGGCAGTTTTTCAAATTGCCATAACTTTGTCATTTCTCAACGAAATCAAGTGATTCAAAAACAAAAGTTGTAGCCCTTGAAGAGACAAAGAGAATGGTACCTTGCACAACACCTAGTTCGCCGTGGTTTGGCCGGAAACTGCCTCGAAAGCCTCGGAGGTCGCCGGAAACTGGGTAAGTTTCAAATGAGTATAACTTCTTCAATACTCAACGAAATTGAGTGAAACAAAAAGGAAAAGTTGTAGTACTTGACGAGACGAAGAGATTGATACCTACCTCAACTCCTAACTCGCCGGGGATTCGCCGGAAAGAGCCTCGAAAGTTCCGGCCAAACTTTGAACTTGTCGATCTCCGTGTTCTTACGTCCAAAAACTTCCAACGAAGCACTCCGAGCTTCCTTGGGACTTCCTTAAGCTCACTGTGGGCTTGGTTTCACCTAAAACAAAGCCAATTCGAAGATCATGAACAGTGCTCTTCACGGGAACTTGGAAACTAGGGGTTTTCCGAAGCAAAACTTACCTGAAATGGATACCAACGTGATCGTGAAGTCCTTAGGATTCCAATGGTGGTCTCAAACTTGACGTTGGTATAGATTTAGGGTGGTTTTGTGGTGGTCCGTGTGAGTTCGAAGGAGAGGGAGAGAGAAAGTGAGGTCTGAGGAAGAGAGAGAGTACATACGGGAAATGGGGAGGGAATCAGGGTAGGAGGCCCTACTTAAATCCCAAACACAACTTTAAACATACTAATGTAAATCCAATTGTTAAATTTTCGCCCCTTAGTCCCGCTTAAGGGCATTTTGGTCTTTTCACGTCCTCGGAATTAAAATTCCGGGACGGGCTGTGACAAATGTGGTTCTTGCTCTCTTTCTTTCAACATCACGATTATGAAACCTTCGACATAATCAAGAAAATATTTCTAAAGCCCAATTACATTAAATCACAAATTCCAAACATTATTTTAACATGCAATTATCGAATCATAAATACATAACTGTAAATAAATCTTCACAGTTTTGGAGGAGGAGCATAGAGGAGGAGATGTGCGACCACCATGAAGCTCCAGAAGGTTTTCTAGTCGACCAGGAAGGAAGAAATCATGGATCATATGACTTTTTGTTCAATTTTCATAGGCTATACACATTGTTCGAACAGATAATTCGAGTCTTTTAACAAATATTTAACAGATAAAACTCAAAAATTTCAAGAACGAAAACAAAAGGTTCGAAATTTACTCAAACCCAACAATAACAGACAAAATTAAAGTTAATTAGAGCAAAGTCAGTACAAATTCGAAATTCCAAAAACCAAAATTATACGCAAAATATGAGAATTTATAACACAAAGAAGTCACCGAAATCGAATCGAATGGAGAGAATGAATCATCAGGATATGAGGAATGAGGCAAGGCAGAGGCTACTATGAGTGAGTTTTGGGTTATGGATTTCAGATTTCTCATTCGGGGAAAGGATGAGGATTCTAGGTTGGGGAAAGCAAGGAGCAGGGAGAAAAAGGAGGATGCCCAAAAAAGCAAAATGATTTCTAGGGTTTGATGGAGTCTGCAGCCGGTTGGACTTGCTAGAGTGTTTTATCACTGTGATGTCGAAGAGAAAGAACGACACCTAAGAACTCAGTAGAAAGAATGGCAACCTTGTAATAACACAAACTAAGCAAGGGTAAAATCGGAACTACACTATGTTTATGAACAGTATTTCAGTTGATTTTCAGTTTTAGTATATATTGAAATTTGCGAATTCATTTGTTTAATCTAAAAATACATATTTTTATTTTCTTGGATTTGCTGCTTTTGTTTTTTTCGAATTATATTCAATGTATCAGGTACACGGCTTGTGCACCAAATGTCATAGTACAACTAATTAAATTTTTTTTATTCTCAAGTACAATAGTTGATGTACCGAACTTTGTTAGCTTATTCCATAAAAATTAGCGTTTCCCACACTTTATACAAAAAAAAAAAAAATCAAACATGAGAATCAAATGACTTACCAACTGGGTAGGTTTTTAATTTCTTATGCAGTACGTATGTAGCAGTTATACAGGTTGCAGCAATCAAGTGAACTGGAATCGTTATGTCTGCAACGTGGGTTCCCTCAAGTTCATGTTTCCATTTTTTATTTTTTTAGTTTATTTTTTATTTACTGTGTTTTCTGCTTTTTTTTTATTTTTTTTTATTTGGAGATTTCTATCCTTTATCCATATTCCTAACAGTAAATTTAAATATTTTTGTTTGAGGGCTTTATTTATAGTTCAATTATTTTTTATGAAATCTTAAGACACTAAATTTGATTTCTTGCTTTCTGGCTTTCTAATATTTAGAGATTAGAGATATACGTGAGCATGCCAAGTTTATATAATTGAAACTTCTGGAACTTTCGCGCCCTTCCTCGATCAAATTTTCCCTTTTCTATATAAAATATCCCAAACCTTCGTTTCTCAATCATCAAATTAGAAAAGTTTCCCAAGAAAAAGTTGTTCGTCTAAGCTTCCAAATCGTCTTCGTTTTTCATTCAAGATTTCGAGATTCTCGTCACCCATGGATCCATTCTTCAGAAGGCATTGGCACAATTTCGCCCCACAACAACGGTACCCGCAGACCAATTCGCGCCACAACATCAGAACCCGCAGAACGCGAGGCAAGTCCCGGTCCAGCGCCGAGCGGACCCGTCGCCGAAGGTGGTCTCAATCCCGGTCCACTACGTCGGGTCGGAGCGCAGCCGGTCGGATTCCGCGCTGAAAATCCAGAAGGCGTTCAGAGGGTTTATGGTGAGGAAAAGCGTGAGAAAGATCGCCGCCATCAGAGTCGAGGTCGGTGAGATCGAGAAGCGGACTTCGAAGCGAGAGGCGGTGGAATTGATGAGGAGGGACGCCAAGGAGCGGCTGAGGGTCAACGAGACGCTGATGAACTTGCTGTTGAAGTTGGATTCGGTGAAGGGCGTCGACTCTGGAGTTAGGGATCTCAGGAGGGCCGTGATAAAAAAGGCGATTGCTTTGCAGGAGAGAGTGGACAGCGCTGTTGCTGAAATTCCCCAAATCGACCAAACCCTAGAATTGCAATCCGAATCCCCTGTAAATTCGGATGAGACTCCGAATCTGCAGTCCTTGGAATTGGAATCGGCAGCCGAAGCCCACATCGAAACTGTTCCACACGGAAATGCGTGGGTATGCAGAGAGGAAGAAGGCGCTGTGAGGAAGAAGGCATGCTGCTGCGACTACAGATTTCGTGTCCAAGTACCAAGTTAATAAATAATGCAAGGAGACAATGACATTTGCTTATCTTCCTATTTACATTTTGACTTCTGCTCGTGTTTCTATTTACATTTTGGCTTTTGTTGTAAAGCATTCGGAAACTGAATTATTTGATTGATGAAATTTGATGCTTTTGGTGTTTTGGCGACATTGATTTTGTAAGTTGATTGGAGTTCGGTTCTCAACGCTCTCATGTGTTTTTATCATTTGATTGGCCTATTTGACCCCAAAAAAACATGATTTTTTGGTCTATTTTGTATAAAAGAATATATATTCGCTTCTTTTAAAAAAAAAAAATTGTTTGTTAAAAAAAAATATTGTTTATATAAAATAACAAACAAAATTATAGCTCATGGGCCGTGTTGTGGTTAGTTTTGGGATGGATAGAACGCAAGACTCAAACCAAGCCCAACCTATTCACTTTGCGACGACACTGCGTTTCAGTCCAGTTCGCAGTTGACGGCCAATAAACGCAAAAGCAAAAAATAAATAAAAAATAAAAAATTCGTTGGCTTTTTGACAGTTTAGTCATGAAACCTTTCTTTAACGCCTTTTTCCCAGGAGTTGAAAATCCAAAAGTAAAAATATTTAATATTATTTAAAGAAAATTAATGAAAATTATTTGAAAATTTTGAGTTTTAAAAATAAGGATAAAATAAAGGGTAAAATAAATAGTAACAGATTGAATTTTTAGTGTAAAAATATTATTTTTTGTTAAAATAAACAATACCGAAAGTTTTTCATTAAAGTTCTCTATTATTTAATTCAAAACATTGTTTAATTTTAAATAAGGGTTTTTATATTAACACCCCACAAAATGTTGAATGCACCCCACATTAAAATTTAATATTAAATGACTTATTTACTCCACTATGCAATGACAATTTTGACATTATTAGTTTTTAAAAAAAATAAAGATTTATAAATACATCCCAAATCACTTTTAGCGTATTATTTATCTTCTCAACTATCAAACATGTTGATTAAGAAAAATTGTTTTTGACGAATGGAACACGAAATCAATGTTTTATGAGCTTCACATGAGGTAAGACTTCATAGTTTTAATTGTTTTAGTGATTTCGATGACATCGATAATTATTTAATCTTACGTTTGCTGCATTATTTAAACTTCTATATTCATATTCATCTTTCAGTGTTCATATGGTTAGATTCAATCTCTGAAAATTAAAAATGAGTGTTATAAGATTTGAGAAATGTGGGGGTAAAGAAAATGTGGGGTGTATGTACAAAATATAATATGTATATTGAGAATGTGGGGTGTGGGGTATTATGGAAAAGTAAGTGGGGTGTATTAAGATAAAACTTTAAGTAAAAAAGTAAATGTGGGGTGTATTAAGTTTGTGGGGTTTATTCAACAATTTGTGGGATGTTAATATAATTAGCCTTAAATAAACTATTATTTATTCTACTAAACAAGCAACCTGAAATCGTTTACTTGATTAGTTGATTTGGCTGTTCTGACCACCACCCAAAACACTCACCCTTTTCTTCTGCCACCTCTCTCTCTCTCTCTCTCTCTCTCTCTCTCAGTGTCGTTGTACAAAACTCTTCTGCGAAACCCTAGATTTTCTGAATTTCAAAAATTCAATCCTCAACGCACAATCTCCCTCTCTCTCTGTTGGAGCTCCAATCCACTGCGCGCTTCTTCTCCCTCTCTCGATCTCCTCTCCCCCTCCCTCCGACTTCCTCACTTTTCGATGGCGGAAGGCAAGCTCGATCTGCCCGACGATCTCCTCTCCTCCAAACCCTCCGATCAGTCCTGGACCTCCAAAGGTACTTCCGCCGTTTCAGTTTTCTCCTGCAATTTTATTTCCTTGGCAATTCAATTTTTTTTCGATTTGGGTATTCATTGGATTTGATCGATGTGAAGCTAATGTAAGGTGAATGGTTACTGATCTGGAGCGTTTAAGTATGTATTGGACCAGTTCATTTTTTATTTCTTTCGGCATCAGGTTCCTTAATTTCGGCTTCCTGCATCTTGAGCTGTTCGAATTTTTATGTTTTGGTTGAATGTTTCGTGTATTGGATTTTGTTCAAATCAGTTTTTCTTCTCTCATTTTTTGTTGTTGTAATTTTAGCATTCAAACTCGATCTTTAACACTAATGTATTGTAATCCTTCGTGTTTTTACTATCGCCATATTGAATTATCCTATTGATTCTGTGTTCTGTATTTCATTGATCTTTATGTTTTAAGATCAAGTAAAGAAATTTGCACGTGCTACAGTCTTTAGATTAGGCTCCAATTTGTTTTTAAATTTATTTATCAAGTATTCAATAGTTGATTGTTATCGCCTCTTTCGATGACAAAGATGGTTTACGGTTAAATTCTTTCGTTGAATCAGTGAAAGGGAGAACTTATATTTTTCTGATCAACTGTAGTGCAATCATGGATGTCAAGAATTCTTGAGATTTATTCTGGTGTGCAATGAAAGCGAATCTAGGGAATTAGTATTCATAGTAGTTCAAGTGGTTACTATTATTAAGCTCTCACTGTTTTTATTTTTTTTGTTGGAGTTCACTAATGGCTGCTATAGTTCTCTCCTCGCCAGAAATGCTCTTTGAATTTCAGTTCCACTATTATATCTTTATTTGCAGTTAACAAAAATGTACAGTTCCTTTATGGTTCATCTAGTGTTATGGGGTCAGCGACTTTATTACTGGATTAGTGTGGAACATTGAGTGGCTTTGTAATGAGAGCATAAACATAGATTTGTGTTTTAATATGTGTTCGTGTTTTGGCAGTTGAAGCCTCTGGAGGAAATGATGAAGAAAAGGTGCTTATTGGGTCATCTGATGACTCGAAAGGTGAGCTTTGTTCAAGTTTTTAGCATTAATTTCATGAGCTGTAGAGTCGATTAAGTAATATATTTTGCTTCCCCTATTTGTTGTTTGTTTCGTCTCACTTTCATCTGATTTTGTATTGCTAATTTATAAATTTTGCAGATCCAGCTGCCTCAGAGAGCATACCTTTGTCCCCCCAGTGGCTTTATGCCAAACCCAGTGAGTCTAAGTTGGTATGTGTTCTAGAGATTGAATTTCTTTTAGTGTTAATTGACTTTTTTTTGGGGTATATGTTCTTCTGTTATCTCCCTGAATCAGGATTAGTTGTAGTTAATTCAATCCTCTATACTTATTGAAAGACTTTGTACTTGTTACCGAAAAAAAAAAAGACTTTGTACTTGGAATTGTGCAGCTGCTTTCTTCATACTCTGATTTTATCTGCATATAGTGAAAATTCAACATATAATCAATGTACAGCCATTTAAACCTGGATTACTTGGAAATTCACAACTTAGCTGACTAGTCATTAAATTTGCTGTATATTACAGGAAATGCGCGGCCCAAGTTCCCTTGGAAACTCTACTGATAGCAACCAGAAGGAAGGTTGGCGTTTGGAAGGATCTGATGACAAAAAAGATTGGAGGCGGCCTGCCACTGAAAGTGAAAGTAGCCGTCGTTGGCGTGAAGAGGAAAGAGAAACTAGCTTGCTTGGTGGCAGAAGAGACCGAAGGAAACCAGAACGCCGTGTCGACAGTGTTCCAGTGAGAGACACAACTGACAATAGGGCACTGCCTGCATCTGAAAGGTGGAATGATGGCCGTACTTCTGCACATGAAGCACGGCGTGATAGCAAATGGTCATCAAGGTGGGGTCCTGAAGACAAAGAAAAGGAGACTCGAACTGAAAAGAAAACAGATGTGGAGAAGGAATATGCTCACAGTAACAGTGACAATCAATCCCTTGGAGGTAACAACCGTTCAGCTTCTGAGCGCGAGTCAGATTCTCGGGATAAATGGAGGCCACGCCATAGGGATCTTCACTCTGGTGGGTCAAATGCTTACCGTGCTGCACCAGGATTTGGACTTGAAAAAGGACGGGTGGAGGGTTCAAATTTGGGATTTACCCTTGGAAGAGGGAGGGCATCTGGTGTCGGGAGATCATCTGCAGGTGTTATTGGCTCTGCTCCTTCTGGAAAAAGTGAAAGTGTTCCTGGGAAACCTAGGCACTCAGCTGATAGTTTTTGCTACCCAAGGGGAAAGCTTCTTGACATTTATCGCCAGCGAAAGCTTGATCTATCTTTTGCTACCATGCCAGATGAGATGGAAGAATCGCCTCCTACAACTCAAGTGGGCTTTGTGGAGCCATTAGCTTTTCTTGCCCCCGATGGTGAAGAGGAGGTAAGAGATAGGATTGGGCATCTTGTGAATGTGGATTATTTTTCTTTAACGTACTGATTCTTTTATGGTTTTTAATTGGTTCGTGTATTGCTAATAGGCCATCCTCAGTGATATATGGAACGGAAAGATTACAAGTAGTGGGGTAGTATACAATTCATTTAGAAAGGGAAGATCAACTGAAAACAATACAGGTATTTTCAACTCAATATTTCCCAATTTGCGTCCATTTTTGGAACCGTCGAATTTGTAAAACACTCATTCTCTAGGTGGCGGAGACTTGGAAGCTGTTGATGGAGTTCTGGGTATTTTGCCCTCGAGCATCACAGAAGAGACAAACAATATCTTGCAGGAGTCTGCAAATGCTGATGATTATGGGACTTCATGGAATTCTGGTGCACAAAGGAATGTGGTAGATGGTGAGTTGCAGTTCATTTCTGATTTGGCATGTTGTCTGTTGTATTGAACTATATGAAGGTATTGTTGACTGGAACATCTGAACAGTCTACTTATTTTATTGCAGAAAAAGATGTCAATCATAAAGAATGGGAAACCAAATCTAGTGCAGAAAAGGACCTTGATGGATTTTCTCAAACATTTCAGAAAAGTAATGGTATCTGCAGTGATGTTGAGACTGATGGTGGCAGTAGGAAAAATGAAGCTTCTTTTTTATCCAGCCATTCTTTGTCGAATGACATTGAGTTTGCAACTTCTGACTTAAGATCAAAACTTCACGATGGTTCAAATACTCTCTATGCTTTTGGCTCGTCTGAGCAGAATCTGAATAATAATTCTCGGGTGAAAGAGTTAGAAAGGGATGTCCCTCCTGAGGATTTATGTTTGTATTACCTTGATCCTCAAGGGGCGGTTCAGGGACCATATTTGGGGGTAGACATTATTTCATGGTTTGAACAAGGGTTTTTTGGGACAGACTTGCCTGTTCGATTGGCAGATACTCCTGAAGGAACACCTTTCAAAGAATTGGGGGAGGTCATTCCGCATCTGAAAGTTTGGGATGCGCATGGGAATATTGTAAATCCAACTTCTCATATAGAAGAATCAAGTGGCTCCTTAGGGAATATAGAGTCTAGCTTACCTTCTTCCGATCTAAATAGCCTTTCAACTCTGCATATTCAACCTAGAAATTCTGAGCCTGAAGCTCCACTACAACTGCCACATTCAACGGGTCAAAGCTTTAATGATTTTTGTGCAGAAGATGAAGGTTTGTCTGTAATAATAAATTCTTTTTGGTCTGTTTATTGTGCTGACAGATGGTTTTTCCGTTATCTCATCCTATTTCATCTTTAATTTTCCAGATATTGTGTTTCCAGGAATACCTGGAACCACCGGCTATTCTACTGCAAGATCTTCTGGAGCCATTCATGATTCTATTGAAAATTCTATTGGCCACCTTCCTTCTCCAACTGAGCTGACAGAATCTGGTGTGCCTATTCAGAATGATAATAAGTTGCACCCCTTTGGCTTGCTTTGGTCTGAGTTAGAAGGCTGTCAAACAAAACAAGTCAAGCCAGCCAATAGGCCTTCTAACATGGGGAGGGCTGTTCCATTTAGTGGAATTTCTGATACAGCGATTCTTGCTGAGACATGGTCTGATGTTCATAGAAAAAATGCAGTCTCTGATACAAACCTGTATCAAGACATGGTAACCCCACGTCAATTGGCACACATGGAACAGGAACCCAGTCATTATGATTTAGCGGAGCAGCTTATGTCACAGCAAATTCGACAGCAGCAGCTCCAACAGCGGAATATGTTGTCTAGCTTTGGACACTTGAATGATGCAGCATTAGAGCATTTGCCAAGTCAGAATCTTATCCACCAACAGTTAGCCAACCATTCTTCAGCAGATCTGGATCATCTTTTGGCACTTAAGATGCAACAGCACCGGGAGGCTCAGCTCCAGCAACATCAGCAACTGCAACAGCAGCAGTTTCATCACCAGCAGAAGCTTTTACAGGAGCAACAGCAGTCCCAACTGCAACAGGTGCTTCTTGAACAACTGCTGCGTGGTCAAATGCATGATCCTGCGCTTAGGCAGCCACACATTGATCCTGTCAGAGCAAACAACGTTATTGAACAGGTTCTATTAGAGCAGCGCCTTATGCATGAACTCCAACAAAGGTCTCACCATTTTCCAAGGCATGTTGATCCATCTTTGGAGCAGCTTGTCCAAGCGAAGTTTGGTCAGTCACCCCCACAAGCAGATTTTCTTGATCTACTGTCTCGTGCGCAGCATGAACAAATTCAATCATTGGAACATCAGATGCAAGCCAGGCAGTTACCAACGGGGATGAGACAGAGGATGGAAGACGACAGACATGGTGGTTCTGTCTGGCCAGCAGATGAGTCAAATCAGTTTTTGAGGACCCATGCTGGTGCTCAGCGAGCTCACTCTTCCGGATTTAGTCCTTTAGAATTTTATCAGAAGCAACAGAGGCCATCCCATGAGGAGCAGCTTAGCCAACTTGACCGTAATCTTTCATTGCAGGATCGACTTCAGCAAGGGTTTTATGAGCCTGGCTCTCATCCGTTTGAGCGGTCTATGTCACTGCCTGCTGGGGCACAAGGGATGAACTTGGATGCTGTAAATGCCATGGCTCGTGCTCAGGGCTTGGATATGCAGGATTCCCTTGGACGGATGCCATCGGGTGGTCAATTGGGAACATTTTCATCTGGAATCCATTCTCATAATCCTCATCACCCTCTTCCTAACCAATTTCATGCTTCACATTTGGATGCAATTGAGGGTCACTGGCCTGAGAAGAATGAACAGCTAGAAAATGATTGGATGGACTCTCGGTTTCAGCAGTTGCATATTAATGCTGAGCGGCAGAAAAGGGAGTCAGAGATCAATATTCCTTCTCAGGATCGAGGTTTATGGATGTCAGATGGATTGAATGAAGAGCATTCAAAGAGACTATTGATGGAGTTACTCCATAAAAAATCAGCCCATCAACCTGCTGAGTCATTGAATGTCAACAATGGCATCTTCTCTGATAAAAGGCCTTCATCTGGCATGTACTCTGGTTCAAGCTCTTCAAGTCACCCATTCAGTCTTCATTCAGACCAAGAAGCAGGTCTAAATAATTCATTTCGAGTAGGATCATATGGTTCAAATCATATGGAGCTCCCACAGGAAGAGCGGGCCAGCAGCATGGAAAGCAATGAAAAGTTGGTGTATAGATCTGATTCTGGAGCATTGGTTGAGAGAGAGTCATTCTTGGCTGGCATCAATGCTACGAGTCAGCCGATTTACACAAATTCTAACATCATTAGTAAGTCTTCTATCAGTAAAGAGGTTTCGGAGTTGGAGGGAAGGAAGCGTGGGACGAAGAGTGAGGGGATCATTAGGGGACAAGCGTTTGACACTCGAGAACAAATGGTTGAACAAGCAGTGTTGGCTGCTCCAGATTATGAGGAGAGGTCAGCAAATTCCCTTAACATGCGTTCGTCATCTGGTGTTTCAGGTATTTCTTGTTGCTTCTTTTTAATATTGACGCAGTGCATAATGCTCAAAATTGTTCATGTAAGAGTTTTGGTTTTCTAAATTTTGTGTGTTCCCATGGGGGAATGTAGGCTTTCATAGCGACAAGATTGGCCGAAGTAATTCATTTGCGGAAGAAACAACCAGGGATCGGTACATATACGACCTTGCTCTTATTGGTCCCTTGTCTTGATCATCCAAATTCTTATGTAAATTCTTCAGAGCATGTATAGAAGTAATTCCTTTTCTTTCTTTTTCCGGTACAATGCCACAGGGTTCCAGCCCCATCCAAAACTCAAGATAATATTCTGCTGAGACGACCTCCTGTCTCAAGCGCTTCAGCATCCCACGAAGGATTGTCAGAACTGATCTCTAATCCAGTCTTCCGAGGACAAAGTGCAAGTGCTGCTCCAGATGGTATGTACATCTAGCTCTCTAGTTGTTTCTTATCTTGGCACGACCGGTTTGCGGTCGGTCTAGTTGCTTATCTCAAAGGTTAACAACTTTATAGCTCCACCTACGTTGTTCTAACCCTTTGTGGCAGCAATGTGGGAAGATTCTTAATTGCAATCAGATTGACAAATACTGTTTTTCTGAAATCTACAGGGGGGAGGCAAGACCCCGTTGTTGTTCATCCAGTAAACCAAGGTTCTGATGCCTTGCCGTCATCTTCAAAGAAAGAAATTCAATTTCGCCGTACTTCTTCCGCCAGCGATGCTGATGTGTCAGAGGCTTCATTTATGGATATGCTTAAGAGTAATACCAAGAAGCTGGCTCCGACGGATGCCCATGCGACGGCGGGAGAAGATGCAATGCAAGGGAACCGGAGTGGCAAAAAGAAGGGAAAGAAAGGGAGGCAAATCGATCCTGCCCTCCTCGGTTTTAAAGTTACCAGCAACCGGATAATGATGGGCGAAATCCATCGCATAGATGATTAGGCCCGTTTGTTGTGTAATTTATGTGTAAATCTCCGTTTCATGATAGTCTCGTATAGAGGTTTAGAACACTCGATGTAAAGCATCTCCGGGTGAAAATTCTTTTATTTTTTCTCTCCCCGTCTCCATCCGTAGTGGTTTGATAAAGATCGATTGATCAGCGATCTGAATTTCAAGGATAGTGATCCGATGATACATCTGTATAGATGGAAATTAAAATCGAAGTTGGGATAATATCAGTATGATTATCGGCCTTTCACTGGCACATATTTGCTTACATTTTGAACTTAGGAAAGCCATTGATTTCGGAAGAGTTGCAACGCTGTTCTTCCCATGATCGACTCCAACTCCGAAGACGATAGCGGCACTCGATTGACGATGAGAGAAACGGCTTCTTTGGCTCCTTTATAGCCACACTCGGGAACAACAAATGGAAAATCACTGCAACGAAGACTATTAGTGTTAGAATCTGCTTCCTGCCCGATCAGGAAGGAAGCAATTTGTTTCAAATTTCAATCCAAAGAAACAAGAGACACACGGCTACCTGCCCCACATGACGCGGTTAGCACCAAAGCTCGACACGACTTGGGACAGTAAATGAGATAAATCCTCGTACGGAAATGGCATTCTCGACAACCGGAACAGCGCACTGAATTTGACATAGACCTGGCCACGAAAATATCACGTTATGCTTAAGAATCAGACTATCAATGTAGGTGAACTATAAGTTGGGGAACAAGAGAAGTGAACAGGCATTGGACAGAGATGCCAAAGTGGTTGCAAGGATTCATGACTCTGTTTTATACCCGATCCAATAATCTAGTCGTTTTCACCCTCCTCGGTCAGCAGATATGTTACTACGAGAAGGTATTCTGGAGCCTTTTTACCTGTGGGAATCTGGATAGCTGTAAAAGTGCAGAGAAAGCGAGCTTTTCCTCATCGTTTCTGCAAGAAAAGAACCTTAAAGTAAGAAGAGTTGCAAATGGTCTGCAGAAACATTGATTCTTTGTAGCAAAGTAAATTATGGGAAAACTCACATTGGTGGTTTGCAGAAAGCCAAATGATCAAGCAATACAGCTGTTGATGGAAACTCCGTGCACAGCTCCTCAATTTCTGATATGTGCAAACCGAGGCCCTGAATTACCCAATTTTTTTTAGTAAATAAACATGTCTGAAACTCCAATAGCACCCAACTCCTCCCTGCCCTCTCCCACAGACGCGCGCACACACAGAGAGTAAAAAAAAAGGTCGTACCCAGTGCACAAGGCTCCCGCTTTACGCAGGGTCTGGGAGAGGTGAATGTCGGTTAGCCTTACCCCCATTTATGGAGAGGCCGCACACACAGAGAGTAATAGAACAAAAAGTTGCAACCAATTTTCCAAAGATAATAAGAAAGGATAAGGAACACCTTCATACACATGAAACCAACTGGTACTCCAAGTTCTCCTGCCTTAGAGAACATTGCCTTTCCTACTTCATTGGTCATCTGCAGAAGCCCTCAAGTGTTATCACTTTAGGACAAACTTACTCCATATTTTGTGGCGTTTCACCGGGATATGTACATCTTAAAACATGTACAGAAGTTCAAAAACATCTAAATTACCTGTTGACCAGAAGGCCACAAATATGGATTGAAGCGAACAGCACGATAGTTATCCTAGCATAAGACAAAATTTTGTCACGGTAATTCCTTGAAGATATTAAAGAAAAACCCGATTAACATTAAAATTATAGGAAATTATCCAAAGACCTTCAAAATGAGATTTTCAAGCTGCTTAATCCCACTTCCATCTTCGGCTGGATTTGCTAGACAACAACCGACAAATTTAGAAGGGTACTTCTTCAACACACTGTCCCAAGATAAAAGCAATAAGGTTTAGGCTACAACCTTAAATGATATGTTGTAAAGAACTATATATGTGGAAGATACAACTTAGATGGAGCATGACTAAGAAGTGTCGGACATGGCGTGATGAACTTCTGACCATTAGCCTTAGTTGATTAGTTCTGAAATTCAAGTCAACAGGGAACGCAAAGTTCACTAGGTGGGAATTGGGATACAAACTTTGATTCTGTGAGACATGACAGTAATAATGTTGATGCTGCGATTTGGCAGTTGAGCCGTCTAGCTACCGGGTTTTACAGTCGAAACATAAGATCAGGTACCATACAGATATTTTTCCCATGTCAACTAAAGCTTCATGATTTTGTTGTTAACGTGACTGACATTATCTCAAGTAATCTATCTTACTATAGTAGGAGAAATCGGAGAAGAATAACTTCGACATCGATTTGAAGAACGATCAAACGTAAACAGACCTTGTCACCAAAGAATGATCAAATTTGTGATTAATGGGCTGCACGATAAGTGCACCGTCAACACCTGCTTCTTCCATACACTGGAAGGGGAGAAAATCAGCATATAATTTCAACTAAAATATCATTAGATCAAACAAGAAATACACACAAAAGAGACAGCTTGATGAAAGTCATATGATCACACCTGAAGCAAGAAATCGACATCTCCAGGCAAAGTGGGTTCTTGGCCAGGAAAGTAAGGGTATTTATCCGCAGCCTACACAACCCAAAACCCAAAATTCCAAATACCATATTAACTTGAGAAAAATCAATAAAAAAATTAGTAGAGACTTGCAGAGCAGTTAAAAAACTTTGGTGGGTTTTACTTGTACCTCTTGAGGGGATGCCCACACATGCAGATGTGAATCTATGATTTTGGGTTTACTGGCAGTGGAAGCCATTGAAGCAGCAGCAGCAGAAGCAGAGGCAATGAGCCGGGTCTTCGTTGAAATGTGGGCAAATGGTCGCGTACGTTTAAGTGGTACCAAAGGGAGTGCAGCTGGAGGTGAAAGCAGAAGAGATGTGACCCTCGCGGCCGTTGCCATTGGATTATGGCTATAAACCGTTTCACTGCTTCAGTATCACATATATGATACACACCGGCCCAATCTGGGCCCAATTATCAGCGAACACCAGCAGTCCACAAAATATATTTTTTTTTTCAGTTTAATGCAACAACAATTAAAAAAAAAAGTGTTGCAATTAATCACCTAAAGCTTCAAATTGTGTTACAGTTTACTTTATATTTCTATTTCTGTCTACTTTCCGTCAAAAACTGACACACGACAAGAATATACTCACGGTTTTCAATACCAATTCTGTCATTCACTCTAAAGAATACGAATTTGATGAGTATTGGAGAAAAAATGTTAAAGCTTTTTATGAAGAAAAAGAGCCTACATAATAAATCTTTCGCCACAATAAAATGTACGTTGGATAACAGGTTTCAGATACCGAGTAACATGCAAAAATGCCCTTGAAAAAGAGTGCTAATGAAGAGTATGGAGGCCAATTTGTGCAAAACAACAGAAGCTTGAGTGAAAGTTGTAAAACAATATGGTTGTCTAGTAATTTAAATTGTTTCTGCTAGACGAACATATTTTTCTGAAGAACCGACTCGTTCAGATCATGGGCTAGGACGAAAGAAAGAAAACAATTGATCGAGTATCAAATTAGTAATTGCGCAAAATTGAAAATTTTAAAATATCAAGAGGATGCAATTGGCATTTTAGGAAAAGTTGAGCATTAAATTTGTAATTTTGGAGCCATTGCATTGGTGTTGGTGGTGAGTGCTTCACTCTCGAATTCATCGCTTCTTTGCAACAAAGAAGGAATATACCATCCATAAAATTACAACAGCCGCATCGAGCCTTATCACCACACTGCACAGGAAAGCTTCAGCAGCAGCAGTAAGGTAGCTTCAATGGCGGCTCCGTTGACCACCCTGGTAAAAACCCATCTTCTCTCTTCCCCTGTTTGATTCCCCAGAAAGCCCAATTTAATTAAGTAAAAAGTTTTTTCTTTTGTGCTTTTTCTTTCGCAGTCAAATGTTGGTTCGCTTCCGGCTTCTCGCAGCGTGTCTCAGATCAGAGTTTTGACCCCTACCTGTTCTTCGGTCACAATCCCATCGTCGTCTCACAAAACGGCGACGTTGTCCTCCAGCTTATTCTCCAGGTCGTCGCGCTTGTCCTCTCTGACATTCTCTTCGAACCCTAGTTCCCGGAAAAGGACCAGTCTTGCTGGCTCAGTCCGCGCCAGTGCTGAGGTTAGCATCGAAAGCTTGGATTTTTTTTTAAAAAAAATTATTAAAAATTCAAAGTTACCGCTTTCAGTAAGCTTAGAACATAATTTGAGTTTCTTTTTGGTAATTGTAGGAAGCAACTTTGCAATCAAAAGTGACCCATAAGGTGTATTTTGATATTAGCATTGGGAACCCGGTTGGGAAGCTTGCTGGGAGGATTGTGATTGGATTGTATGGCGATGATGTGCCTCAAACCGTGGAGAATTTCCGTGCGCTTTGCACAGGTTTTACGATTTTCCTGTGTTTTGTTTATGGCTTTATGTAGTGTCATTAATATAAGTGACATCTTGATTGAATGTGCTTTCGTATGAATTGTGTCTTTATTAGGTGATAAAGGCTTCGGGTTCAAGGGGTCCGCGTTCCATCGTGTGATCAAGGATTTCATGATTCAAGGAGGGGACTTCGATAAAGGCAATGTGAGCGCTCTTCCCGGTCTTGTAAACTCGTAGTTTCTGGTTTATTTTTATGGATTGCTACATTTGTTGACTATACATTTAACAGTGATATATGCTATAGGTTTTTTAGTTCCATATTGACTTGATATAAGGTTTCGATATTACTTGGAAACCCAGTCTATCAATTTTAAGGAAATGAGAATGGCTCACTTTAAGCCAAACAACATTTGCAAGGTCAAGTTAAAATATATTAAAATAGAGAAACAATTTGGGATTTGCCAGAACTGTTTTGACTTATGATAGTTTGAATGGGTCTCTTTTCTAATTCGGGATTTGCTTTGCACATAAATGGCTGGTTGACCATTTTGGTTATCCGGTATTAGTTATAGCTACTTCTTCCCATATGTATTGACTCATGTTCTCAAAGGTACATAGGTTAGATAAATGCTGGTAAGCAAAGTTACTTTCTCCCTGCTAGTAAAAAAGGAGCTTGAATTACTGAGAATTGGAAGCAGTTGACTAAACTAGGGAAGTAGCTAGACCGGGGTTGTTTGAAGTACCGATTGGGCCTTTCAATCATATCTAACAGCCTCATATGCATTTCCAAAGACTTGCCTTGCATCTTTGTTGGCTATTTCATATTCTTATTAACTGCTTACTTGTAACATTTGCTCATGCTTTTGTTTTTTTCAATTATTTGGAAGGTTTTCTTTTTTTTTGTTTCTTTGAGGTTATCATTTTTTGGTTGGACGTGACAGTGAAATTACAATTTTGGAAACATATTTCAGGGCACTGGAGGTAAAAGTATTTACGGACGTACTTTCAAGGATGAGAACTTCAAGTGTAAGTTATTCTTTACTTCTCATGCCTCATAGTAGTTTATGAACTGCCTTTTATTGACAAGAGATTTTGTCTCTGATGTAATATGAGATTGAATACGGTCACGACCACTTTTGACATTATAAGTTTATAGATTTTTAAATGTCATTGCAGTCATAATTCTTGAATGCATGATTTTGCAGTATCTCATACTGGACCAGGAGTTGTTAGCATGGCCAATGCAGGGCCCAATACCAATGGGAGCCAGTTCTTCATATGCACGGTCAAGGTAAGAGTCATTCATTCTCCATATCGTACTCGTAGAATCAATTTGGCTAAGAATGCTATGGCATGAAAGTTTGCAGCCTCATCTAATCGTGGTTCAACGCAATTCCCTAGCCTGGAAAATTAAGTAGGTTTATTAGTTTATTCTCAGAAGGTGGTTGTGTGGTTGTAGGCTTAGAAGGGGTGGCATTTTGTAACTTGATATATGCTTATCTGTAATTATTTGTTCCAGACACCGTGGCTGGACAACAGGCATGTCGTTTTTGGGCAAGTGGTGGAAGGCCTGGACGTTGTTAAACTAATCGAGTCTCAAGAGACAGACAGAGGTGATCGTCCTACAAAGAAGGTGGTGATTGCCGACTGCGGAGAGCTGCCGGTGGCCTGATTCGGATTTGTATGAGTTTTAGTTATTTCGAGTTTTCCCTCGGATCATTTCTCCTTTTTGGAAATGTGGGCTTTTGTATTATGTACCCCAGTAAGAGGATTCAGTTTGTTTGGTGGATTAGTCCTGCAGGCTGCAGCACCAAATCTCGCCTTTTTTCCATGAACTATTAATATTAGAGTTTGATTACCGGGAATTATAGCCAATTAGAGCGATAATATTTTGTTGATGAATGCTAAAGGATTGATCTTCCCTTTACTCTAATAATGTTTGGTTGGGCCTTGATGTAGCTGGGTCGGAATTAAACGGGCCTTGAAAATGTTGGGCTGAGGATGGGCTTGGTCCTGGTTTTATCGGCCCTAAACATAAATTAGTAGTCATATCTATACTTTTGGAAGTCTAAGGTGACCATTGTAATCATGTATAGGGCATGGTTGCGAAGTACACGTACAAATATGCAATAAGTTGTGGCGTTGGGTTCGTACACGACTAGGCCGCCTCCGTTTTAGTAAAAAAATAAATTGGTTTGAATTGGTCTTTGCTAAAAATCGAACCTATGACATTTGACTTACAAGTGAAAAGAATACTACTGACCGTTGTACTCAACGGTTCAATTGTTGATTTGTATATAGAAAGTGGATGTATTTGCTATTGACTTTGGAAAAACAATATAGGACATGACCTCGGATGCAGCTTGCAGAGATAAATTTTAATTACGTGAACCACACATCTCTTACCACCATAAGAAATCATGGGATTCTTCCTATGTTCATCCCAACGTTGCATACATAATTCGAGTTTAGTTTTGTGTATGTAGACATAAGTTGCATTACTCATGGGCTAGTTTATTTCAGATGATACTTTGATTTTTAGTTGATATTTTTTTCTTACTCTTGGATATTAAAAATAAGTTTGGATATTTTGATCTTGCGTTAAGCTATAATATCTTAGTGGATAATTTGGAGGGAAAGCATTTCGACGAAAAAGCGAGTAACTATCATTTAAGATATCGTAGATATTAAAATGGGAGGGTGGATTGTCTGCCCTCCCATTTCCATACTATTCTCATCCTCTTATTTGTGTGGTCACGGTTAAACCAAGTCAACATTTTATATTGATTTTTTATTTATAAAAATAATAAAACAAAAAGTAATAAAAATATAAAATGTTGACGTGACTTAACCGTGAGCACACAAAACAGAAGATGATGAGAAAAGTATGAAAATGGGAGAGCAGACAATTCACCTCCATTAAAATGTGGCTAAATGCAGGCACGGCTATAAAGCTAATTTGAGAGAGAGGGAGAGATGGAGAGAGGGCTACGTGTGGCATTTGCTTCCAAATTGAAGGACAAAACACGTGGAAGGGCAGAGCAAGGGTGGCCCTCTTTTTTAAAAGCAAGAGTAGATTGTAGCTACAGTTCCTTAATTTTAACTCAATTTGAGCAATGGTTTTTTAACTAAAAATCTATTACCATTGGTCCCTTAACTCATCAAAACGTACAGTTATGGTTCATCAACTAAAAATTCATTACCATTGGTCCCTCAACTTTAATTCAACTGGAGAAATGATCTCTTAACTTGAACTCAATTATAGCAATGGTCATTCCAACATAACTTGTTTTGACAAAAATTTTGACGTAGTTGACAAAAGTGACCATTATTACACACGTTGATGAGTTGAGGGACCCTAATTATATAAATGGTTATTCCAAAATAACTTATTTTGACAAAATTTTGACGAAATTGATGAAATGACTATAGCTACACATTTTGATAAGTTGAGAGACCAATAATAATGGATTTTTAGTTGATGGATCATTACTCCAATTTGATTAAAGTTGATGGACCATTGCTACAATTTACTCTTAAAGCAAACATTCCCATTGCAATGAGAATTGATGTATGAATTATGATACTACTCAAATTAGTGGTGAGTGCAGTTAAAATCTTCGCCCCCGAAGGAAATGGACTTAAACAAATATGTCCTCTAACGAAATTCAGCAAAAGGAAAGGGAAAAACTCAAATCAGAGAAGGAAAAAGCACACATTATCAAACCCAACAATGTTTACTGTGCTGGCAACCCAAAATTCTACCTGATTCTCCGGTTGTTGGAATATTGGGATGGTTAATCTTCCTTTTCTTACTAAAACCCCCTAGTGTAAAAATATCGATGTACCAAAAAATATATATACATAATTTAAAGATATAATAAAATGTTATAATTTGTATAGGTACTGCTATCCACACGTCTTTTTTAACTTTTGACATACCTCTTAATTTTTTACCATCAAATTCAATGTATTGAAGAAGATCCATGTCAAAAATAACAAAAACATGTAAGAAGTAAAAATAAGTGAAAATAATATAAATATTGGTAACTTTTTTTTCCTTTTTTTCCTATTTTGCCCCCACTTTTGATACACACTATAGACAAAAAGGAGGGCAAAATAGTAAGTTTGTATCTTTTGAAAAAATGACAATCATATCCCTATTTTTTCTATTTTACCCTCTTTTTTTTTAGATAATGACAATCATATACTTATTTTTTTCAATTTTACCCTCACTTTTTATTCACAATATTTACATAAGAAGGACAAAACAGTAATCATGTAATATTTAAAAAAAAATGTGCACTTATTAAGAAAAATTATTCTCTCACACACAAGTGTATGCTCTCTGTTAGTGTGTAAGAAGATAATATAGGTGGCGAGAATAGACCCTAAAATGGAAGATGATCCACTCCTGAGCTCAAGATGAGGATCCTCCTGACCACGAAATCAAGACCGTTCAAATTTAATCTAACGGCTCCAAACAGGTGAACCCTTTAAAAGCTATAATAATTACAACCGTTGAATTAAATTTGAATGATCCTAATTTCATGATCAGAAAGATCCTCATCCTGAATTCGGGAGAGCATCCTCTTCCCATGAAATGTGCACAGCTGCACTATATGAATAAAAGGTCTCTCTGCCCATACTATTCACAACTTGGCGCACGCCCGTCGAGGCGGATTCGATACGATCCCGATCACGTGACTCCGTTTCAATTAAATTTTTTTTTCTTGGAGGGCCCATTCCCTGCGTGCATGGCCCCTCGCCAGTGGTCCACGGCATCAAAATACAGCAACCGGGTCCCACATGTACTGGCGGCTCTCTGCCCGGCCACGACCGCGCCACGTCGCGGGAACAGTCCGAAACCATCACCAGCATAAACAGCTATAAAAAAAAGATGCCAAAAAACGACACTAAAATTGGAAAGCGACGGATCATGTGGGCGTGGAGATTCGTGACGCGCCCCCGTTGAGATTCTGTCGGTTTTGGACTTTTCATTCATTCGGTTGAACTCATGTCGTTTTAATTCCCATGACAGAATCATTATGCTCATCATAATCGTCATCCACCCAATCATTCAGTCTTGATTGCGTCTTAATTACTTCATCATGACGTTTGATTTCCCTATCATTTGCCTCCCCTCCTTCCATAAATATTCACAATTTCCTTTTCAATGGGTTTATTCCCCCATTTTTTTCTTTTTTTGTTTTTCAATCCCATTTTTCGTCTTCAATGTTATTATGAAGCATATTATAATTGGAGAATGGTATAACAAGGGTTCAAGCAAGCGGGATCACATTGCATCAACGGCCCGGATATGACCGTTCATTCACGTATAATCTTGAATATTTGTCAAAGTACAAACAAAAGAAACTTCAATCAGATTGTTCGAATAGAATAATTTTCACAACTAATAACTGCACGTGGTCGAGTGAGACCATAATATAAGAAATCCCATGCTTTATGAGAGATACCTTACAAATAACTTATCGAAAATTCCAACCTCAAAAGAATTTCGTGCGACGGTAATTATTAAATAGTGATTGATGTTTATTCCCACATTATTGTAGCCGTTGAGGCCAGATATTGGTTGATTCTTGAAAGGGAAAATGTTCCCACAGTGACCTTACGGTCCTACTCAAAGCAGTATGTGGCCCACCCACAAAATGCCCTGAGTGAAAACAACTTTCGGAGGCACACCTACCACTGCTGCAATTAACTAAAAGCCCCTGTTCCTGTTGCTGTTCGTTCAAGGTGAATTACCAACCATGCCCAAATGCGCAGTGTCACAAAAGCACTTATTTAATCAAAATAACAACAGCCGGCCAATCTTGGCAATTAACTAAAAGCCCCTGTTCCTGTTGCTGTTCGTTCAAGGTCAATTACCTACCATGCCCAAATGCGCAGTGTCACAAAAGCACTTATTTAATCAAAATAACAACAGCGGGTCAATCTTGGCGGCTCACAAAAGCACTTATTCAGTTATAGAGCCAATAAAACATACCAGGTTTGAGATTCTGCTGTAGTAGAATAGGTCATATATGTATTTACCATAGATTTAGAGAGCAAAGGATTAATAGCAGGGGAAATGTATGTACACGAGACTGTACAAGTCGGAATTCTGATTTACAAGCTCCAGGCCGGACCCGAATGGATTGACCTGAAGCTTTGCATTGCACTTTCAGAGAGCACGATTTACAATTAACCGAAAAGCATCCTAATATACACAGAAGACGACAGGACCTAAGTTTACCTAATGAGACACTCAAGAACACGACTTTATCAAACCCAGGTTGTAAAGGAACTTCTCCGACCTAATGCGAAGGAGATTGCCCAAAGAGAATCTCCCATTCTCCTGTGGTGGAGATTTTGAAAAGAAGTCGTCTTGCACACGCAGGAATGTCAAGCCAATCTCTTGCCGAACTGCTTCTATTGTCTCGCTCTTGACTTGATTTCCAGATGCATCAATCACGTAGAACACATTCACGGCTTGGGAGCCCCTGGTTGTAACCTCAGCTCGGGTGACTGAAAGACCATTTTCTCTAAATATGCGAGTCACATCAGAAAGAAGGCCGGCTCTGTCATCACCACAAAGCTCTAGTCTTATACCCTGCATTAGAAATGTTGCATTAACTTCAAATTACTATGTGAAATTGGGAAGAGTATGTTCAAATAAAAATTCCAGTGTGTTCGTACCTCAGAAGTCCGTCTTCGAATAGCAGCTTCCAAACAATGAATAACCCTCTGCCTTTCTCCTTCAGAACTAATAGGGCAGCCGTCGGTATGCCTTATATAATATTCCTATCACACAAATTTACAATGTTAGAACAAATTATATATTTGCGTTGATTGCAATACGCTTTTTTTTAAGATTTAAATAACAT